GGTGGTTGCACGACGCCAAATGGCTTCTCGTTAAATCCGCTGGTTGATGACGCTGATCGAGCTGGCAATGTCCCCCGGGGGCGGTGACAGCGCTGGCATTAATTAGCAGTGGCCCGTTGCTGCTGACTCGCGCCGGCTTAATTAGGGGATCGCGCTAACGCGCGGAATAATTGCGGACGTCGCTGATGATCCTCCGGTCGACAATGCGATGGATCTGCCTGCTCGCGGCGCTTTCGCCGTGGCCGAGTCTTGCTTGCGACGGTCGGGCTCTGTAACGGATTGCATCCTTCGTTGAGCGTTAATTGATTTCGCGGGGAGGCAACAGTGCACAATGTTAATTTCGTCATGCGCGATAAATGATACAAGATCGTCTTGCCAAATTAGCGGATCGAAACTCGCGGGCTTACAGTGAATAGAATGAAAGACGAGCTTTGCTGAATAGAACTTGACTGAACGCCAGCTTGCACAATGCCGCGTCATCTCTCAATTTTCAAAATTAAATATCTTAAAAGCAGCGAGCCTTGAATCTATCACAAAAGTCCATCACAATGAAAAGTACTTGAGATAAAGTGATAGATCAATTATTTCTCCACTCCTTTGTAAGGTTAACAATATTAATAATCATTCATTTTCGTATAATTTTCAATATAAAAGCTAGAAATAACTACGAATAATAACATTTGAATATCGGAATTTTCTTATCTAAAACTCACTAAGTTTAATAAAAAAAAAAAAAAAAAAAAAAACAATTTATACACGTACAAAAAATGTGAGATATTGAAACATATTGTTAAAAGAAGATAAACGTAACAACATTGTGGCCTGGTTTTTCAAACTGCTGAAACCAATCCCGTCGCGTGACAACAGTGAGCTCTTTCGCGTGAATGAATTCTCGCAGTAGCCTCGATCGAGCACGAACAATCGTTCGTTTCTCCCCATCGACATGACAACGAACCTTCCCTTGTGACAGTGTATTAATCGGCGGATTTCTATGCGCGATCGACGTCGCCGTCCACAGAGCGGACGGAACGCACGCTGCATCAGCACCAATTAACGGCGTTGATTAGTTAGTGCGGACGCAGCAAACACGACGGCTGATGCATAGCCGCCACTCGAATTGCAGATCGAATGGGGAGACCCCCTGCGTCAGACGCGACGGATGCATACAGCCGTATGAGACCTCGTACAGATACATAATGGATTATGGATCTTCGCCTTTAATTCGATTATGTCCGCGGTTGTCGAAACGCGCTTCATTGCCCTCGGATTCGATCGAGTGAACGATTATTCTCACTGACAATATTGATCGACAATTAACAAAGCGGTCCACCGCAAATGTACGCTCCATCTTCAATGCAGCTGCTGGAATCAGTTGCATCGATTGAATTATTGTATTGATTTTCAATAAAATTTTTACATCTATCGAGCCAGTAGCGACATGTGCAATTATTTTTAAATAATTATAATTCTATGCAAAATTATAATAATTACATGATTATAATTTGCTTTGATCTTTTGCTCATTTAATTCTACGAATGTTGGATGATTCTGCTGTAAGAAAGTTATTAAAAATGTCACAGGTATGTTATAAAAAGAAAGTAATAAAATATTCTTGTGACGCGTGAATCAAAGCTCGCCTACAAGATACGTGTATTTACGTTCAAGATTTTCGAAAATTTAATGACGGGCACATGGCAGCATTAATCAGAGAGACATCGGATGTGAGAAACGTGCTGCGTCTCTTACGTCATTACACACATGTCGCTTTTCGAGGTGTCACGTGTACGTAGGTGTCAACGCGTTTCACATTACTTGGCGCATGCAGAGCCACTTATGTATGCTATGTCTTGCGAAGTGACCTCCTTACCACAATACATCATCGGATAAATGAGCCGTGATGGAAATGTAATATCTTTTTAATAGCGTTTCATAGCGTTATCGTATTTATTTTTTACCTATTTGTCGATGGCTGTCAGATAAATTATCAGAAAAGTAAATTTAATCTTCATACCGTCAATATAAATAATAATGCGGTATAATGGTAAAAATGTGAAATTACTTCTTGATTTTTCCGACTTTAAGACATAAGCGATAAAATATTATTTATCGATCCTTCCATTTATGTTATTATTTGCATCCGTAATCTACTATTGGACTATAATTTAATAATCGCGAAAAACAATCTAGAAAAGTGGAAAAGTGCAGCAAAATGAATATTTGATGGATATCGAAAAAAGATTCACGTTGAAAAAAGTTTCTTATTTTGGAAATATACCTACATTAATATTTAAAACGCCCATGAAAGCTTGTAAAGTTTCCTCACCGCCTCTGAATGAAAAGGCGAGGAAAAATTTTACATTACAGATAGGCAAACCCCCGTTCGTGACGGAGTTTTCTTATCAAGCGTAACATCGGGGTTGTCGAATAAATGTAGAGCGAATGAATCTTCCTCTGTACACGTATCTCGACATTTTCGTTCGATCTCGACGCTCGCGATGTTAGTACGGAATACACATTTGTCGAGACATATATCACCTATTCATCCATCATGTTTGCTTTGCCATCGCGTTTTATCAATAGAAGAAACATAACTGCCCCGACAAAACGTCAATATTTAATGTAAAATATATAAAAATACATTTTTTTAAATATTCATTATAAAGACAATAACATGACATGAGTAAAAACGAGCATTATTAAAAAAATAATTAATATTTCTTCATGGAATATTAAAAAATGGCAGTAGAATATGTTATGTGATTTTTTACAAAAATATTACTTGTTATTATATTTGAAATTTTTCGTTATCGTAGAATTATTAATAATCGAATAACTTTTAAAATATTAAGAGTCTTTACCAGCAATGCCCGGTTTATTTAATTTAAACCTCAATTTTCAAGTGTACGTCTCGGTATTCTTGCAATTGTTATTTTAATAACAGTAGTGCAGATTTGCCAAGTGTAATAAAAATTTACAACAATTTTTTTGTCTACGTGTCAAAAATTTTTATTTTTTAAATTTTTTATGAAAATGGTCAATTTAATGAATAATTTTGAAGTGGCACGCAGTGGATTTTAACCGCATTAAAAATGGAACAAAATCCGTTAAAAAAACCGCATGGCCTTTGATCTCTGTATGAATGACTTCCGGCCTATTTACCTGCGGAGAGAAATGCTCAAAGGGCGAGTTGTGCTTTGTGAAAAAAGCACCGGTATAAAAGCGCGCGCTATTACTGCCGCGTAACTATGGACGGACGGCGAAGAAAAATTCGCAGAGCGGAAAATTTACTTATTCGTTGCCGCCAGATCGAATGTGGACGCCTTAATAAAGTTTCGCCGTTACCGACCGGATCCTATTTACACGTTCACGTGGATTTGACAAACTTGCCTTGGCAGCGCGAACAAAGTGTAGCTGTTGCCAAATTCGATTATACGGTGTACTGAATCGCTGCATTTCAATGAACGAAAACAAGCTCGCGACAAGCACGAGCGGCAAGATGAATGCGCTATTTTCTCAAGAGAGGAATTTCCCTGCGTAGTAGATTGTCATGATACCCGTGTAATACCTTCAAAGATCTTTATTTTATACTCTACGTGTTTCGATCGACTATGTACCTTGAGCGCTATGCAGCACGCTCATGAATTTTAAATATGTAGAAAGTTCGCGATATATATTTGCGAAATTTCAGGTAGTACAGTATTTGCAATATTTATATAAAAAAATGCTCGTCGAAATTTAAGAACACTGCTAATGTCGGGAATGAAGGAAGAAAAGGCGCTTTGATATGCAATCATGGTGGAAAAAGCGGAGTCGCTTAGAGTTTGAGCGCAGTAGTAAATATTTACAGTATAATAATTACATCAACATTGAAAAATGCGACAGATGTTCCGCTCCGCTTCGGACACCCTCTTCAATGACACCGATAAAATAGATAAATTGCGAAACATTACGCAAGTAGGATTAATATCCCGCATATGTCGCATCGCTTTTTTGCGGACAATCTTTCGAAAAAAAATCTCGATATTGATCTATAATCATTGCGAGCGTGGAAAAGATTTGAAAGATATTTCAATCTGTAGACGTCCTTTGCACACTTCTAGAGATCTTTTGAAGCTTTGTGTTGTTTGTAGTTCTCCGTACTGATATTTTGCAAATGTCACAGTTGAGAGATTGCTGATGCAGAACCGGGCGAACGCGTTCTTTCGCCTTTTATGCGACTTCCACGCAGATGAAATCTGCGAGACCGAAGGTGGAGAAGAAATGCAACTTGCAAACGCGTTACTCCCTCTTACATTCAAGTAGCCACCCTCAATTATATTGCGTCGCACCGAGGCAGAATCGAATCGCGTTTTTGCAGCGCAAATGAGCCCGGCGCTTTATTAAAGAACCGCTCTCTCGTCAGTACCGTCGTTCGTCAGTACCGTCGTTTGTCAGTACTAGCGAACAAAATACATCAGAACTGTTATATAAAGTATCCCATTACGCCCGCTGTATCGCGTTTCTTCCACTGCCGCAAATTATTTTAATTATTTTGAAGCTAATCTTTCTTTAACAAAAGAGTATATCGCAGCGCTGATAATTGCAAACGTACAGAATTGAGAATGCAGAGCTTATTATAAATTTATTATCAGGAATGCTAATAAGCATCAAATAATTAAATCGGAAAACAATTTGGACCATAAAATATGCATTTCAAAATTAATTTCGCGAAATTCCACACTATGTATAATTGCCTTCGAAATTTGCATCATTAATTACAAGACAATTGCTTGAGAAATTTGACATATTGCGCGATTAAATATTCATTCTGTGCAATTTAATCTTTCGCAGTTGAATTGCAATAAATCTTAACAGTACGAACTTGCGTTTCATGTCTTTCGACTGTAATATCGTG